GATCATATTTAATTTAGTCAGTTTTCATAATGAAATACATATAACATGTATTTATAAATTTGAATAAGGTTCAACGGCCTTTTCATTTAGTGCCAGTTTATACACCATAAAACCTCTGGTTTAGGTGTCACACTCAGAGAAGAGTGAAAGGTGAATATAATCATAGGCAACCTACTATTATATAAAGAATAAATTGATCGATACAGGGACCCCCCCCCCCCGAGTTGTGGATATTTCGGAAAACACGACACAAGCAAAAGACCGGATATCGATTTAGTTGAAAGCTATGTCCCCATGTACAATAATTTGACAGTTTACGAACTAGTTTCGTAGATTGGAGACAATTGTTTGCTTTTTTGGCTTTTCACAAGAATATAAAGCTGGCAATCATCATAATATTGACGTCCGTACGTCACGGAATGTACACCAATCGTACCCCAATAAACATTCAATTTTGCTGAAACTGGAGAACTTACCTTTGCAAACACGTTTCTTATGCCGCCTTCTTGAAGTTCTTGAAATCAAATAAGGTTACTAGTTCTTCTAGTAACTAGTGAATGAGACCACTGAGCCGAACAGAATACATGTATAAACAGTACTATAATAAATTGCACGCAATGGAGAAATCACGTGCCGTAATAACAGCGTTACTCACAGATCTAATCTACTGTAAAATATTTTATTTCAGCTGGAATTATCATTCGCTGAAAAGACTTTTTTCTGGGTGTTTTGTATATATAATAAGTTTACTGTAAAATATAAGAAAAGGGTATATTCGCTGGATTTTATTTTAACTGAAACATTCCTTCAGCGAAAATAGCAAAAAAATGTTGCAAGCAAAAATAAAGTATTTTATAGTAATTAATTTATTCTGAGCATGCGCAGACATTCTGTCAATGTTGCCCGGAGAGGTAATTTTTGATGAAAATCGTGAAAAAGACCCACTTGGGATTTTCAGATTTGGAAAAAAAATTACGTGCATACTCAGCAGAGACTTGTTCATCAACCTGCCAAGTTTCACCGATATCTGCTGTAGAATTTCTGAGAAAATGTTGGAGACAGAAAAATGGACATAACCTGAATTATAAGGTCCCCTTTTCAGGCTGCGCCTGAACAGGGACTAAATATGTGATAGGGACACGCTGCAAAGGCTCCTGTTGTGGGAAAAACGCATCTTTATCAATTTTTCCTGTGACATGGAGCAAAACCTTTCATTTTGAATACTTACAACAAGTCAAGGCGTAGAGAAGAATAGCAGCTGTATTCATTGATCCATGTCTATGTACATTAAACATACCCATTAATGCCATCACTATAATACCAGTAGCTAAAGCTAAGAATTGACATCCAACACCTACATGGAAAAACAGATGTGACATGTTAAACTGTAAAATGACTAATTTTCACTGGGTTTAAATTTCGCCGATTTATCATTTCAGGCATATTCAGTGGGTTTTAAATTCACAGTTTTATCGTTTAGATAATGTGTGCTATGCTAAATTTTACATATTTACTGGGTTTTAATTTAGTGCATTTTCCAGTCAGCGCAATAAGCTTTTACAGTACTCTCGATCTTCTTCTAAAACATACATGAAGCAAGAAATGTGGTGGCTGAGAAATGACAACCAACAGATAGATATGATATCATTTATAGTCTTAGTCACAGTCCCTCTATCTCCGGTCAGGAAACGACTAGCGTTCTTTTGTCTCGAACTGTGGTGTGGGTAAACAAATCGTTCACACTCGGGCCGAGGGAGTCAGGAAGTCAGACAGATTACAATACCGTCAAAATATTCATTAAAATTGGAAAATTTACCGTCATTCAAAGCGATACCCCATTGTATGACTTCACTTTGACTTCAAATTCGGGCAACCACAACGTAAACAAACATGTAAACAAAATTATCACTATGAAATTTGAGTTTTTTTAACGGTGATGCGCATCAAAACCAGCCTACCAAAATCAAATCTTGTCAAAATGGCGTTGTTCATGTTAACGTGATCGATCGAAAAACCTGTAATATTTCTGATTTTTGGGGGTTCAGAACAGTTCAAGTCAACTATACAACAACTAATGACTTTATTCTATGCAAAAGTATATAACAATGCTTCAATGCTTGTATATAAAATGATTTTTTTAGCACAGAATTGAGTACATTGTCATTTCAAAACGTCGCCATTTGCATTTACGATCTAAAAAGCATCCATAAAAGTCGCTCAATTTAACATTAACAAGTCATTGTCAATGACACGTCCCCGTTCCGTTCATATTTGAGTGACATATACATTCAAAGCAGATCATGACCGAAATGCACCTGCATATGTACAACACATTGTGCTAAATCTGAACAAAATCCATCCATGCATGACTGAGATCCGGTTC